GGTGCCGTGACTGGGATGGTGCAAAGGTGGCCTTTCCCCCACTCTCACAAGACTGGGGTTGGAACTCCCCCATGGGTCTCTCTCTCGCTACACGGCCTTGGGCCCATCACATTCCCTCTCCGAGCTCAGGACCCTCATCCTCGGAAAAAAGAGGATAGGATGGACTGGGTCAGAGGGGAAGCCTGGTCTATGGACACCCACTCACACACACAGGCACACGCACGCATCATATCCACTCTCAGATGGACACACACTCACCGCCCCCCATCACACACATCGTAACACACACAGACACACATCACAGGCCACTTGGCCCCCGCCACCCCCAGCTTCATTACAGCCCTCCTTCCCTTACATAAACTCCCCGTGCCCTCCAGTGTCCCCCGCAATCACTTACCTAATATTAGGATATTAAAAAATATGGCAAGATTTTAAGAGACTTATTAAAATGCAATTAGCAGCGTGTACGACTTAAGCAGGGAGATTATTTTTAAAAATGACTTGATTGTGCGGAATACCACGCACCTTCCCGAGGCCGTAAACCTGCCAATCACACACATTCTCAAATGAGGAGGTCTCCTCACTTTCTCTTTGCCCTTCAGGGTTTTCTCCTGCCCCCAGGGACCATGAAGGCTGTGGTCCCCCACCCATAAAAGCCACCCGCCCACACACAGACACTCTGAACCCCTCAAGAGGTCCCTCAGAATCAGGTCCAAAGCCAAGCTTGGAGAAGTTTCTAGAAACCAGCCAGAGGGTAGGCATGAGGATGGAGACACTCCCACCCCCCCACTCACGCCCACTCCAGTTAAGATTTGGGTCTGGCAGGGGCTGCAGGCAGGGTAAGGGTGACAAACTGTCCTTCGAAGGGGCTGAGGATGGGAAGGGCCCAGGGAGGAGGAAGAGGACCAGGGTGAGGGGGGGTGGGCTGCTGATGACCCCCTCTGAGGGCTAAGCCTCTGAGACCCCCCCTGCTATTGCCCCCCACCCAGCGGCCACTCTCCCGGCTGGAACGGTGGGTTATGCTGCCCCCTGCTGCCTGCTCTCCACACTGCAGCCCCGCTCAGGACCCAGCGGCTGAGCAAAAGAGCTGGCCCGGTCCAGGGTCAGCGCGTCTCCAACTGCAGGGTCCGCGAGAGGGACCCCAGGAAGCCTCCAGGCTCTAAGCCAAATAGAAACTCGCATCTGGAAACATGGGGCTCGCTCTCCGGCACCCCCTCCTGGGCTGCCCCACCCCTGGCTGAAGGAGTTTATCAAATGTGCTCACCACTTCCTGGCATTAGGCTCCCGCTGGCACTTTTATTCCAACCATAAAAAGGCTATTTCATTGAGAAATAAAGTCCCATCTCCCTGACGTGTAACTCCTTTCAGAGCTCTTATTCAGCCGTCAGGCAAAATTTATGTTTCCTGGATGCCTTCTCTTGGGATTGCAGCTGGAAATTGGGGAGAGGGGGCTGTAGGGAGGAATTTCCTTTCTCGCCAATGGACATGTGTTTATTCCTTCGGTCTAAGGAGCCGCAGAAACCCAAGGTGTGCAGGAGGGAGCCCTGGCCTTGGAATGAGGAGGCCAGGGTTTGAGCCCTGGTTCTCTCTCCTATTAGCTGTTGTGACCTTGGGTAAGCCCAAGTTTCCTGGTCTGTAAAATGGGAAGAACAATTCTTCTCTTCCCCGGAGGGACGGTGCTAGATGCCGTGAGCAGAGAGAGGTGGAAAGAACCTGGGCGTTGTAGAACTGCAGGTACTGCTTTTGTAATGAAGGCAGCGGAATTCTCTGACTCTGGGAGGTGTCCCTGGCACAGATTCTCCCAGGCAGTGGTCCTCAGCTGCCATGTGCATCAGAATCACCTGGAAGACTTGTTCAAACACAGATTGCTGGGTCCCACCCCGTGAGTCCCTGGAACTGTAGGTCCAAGAGTTTGCATTTTTCACGAGTTCTCAGGTGAAGCTGATGCTGCTCATCCGGGGACCCCACTTTGAGAACCACCATTCCGAGGCTTTTGAGATCTGGGATGTGAGGCAGCACAGCCTGGGCCTCAGGAGAGGAATGAGGAGGAGGGGGGAGGTCACCTGTGGTGCCAGGCGGGGCTGGGCTGTAGCCAGCTCCATGGGAATGAGCATCGGTCCACATCACCCCATCTTGTCCCCCCACTGGCTTGGCCTGAGGTCTCCGGCAGCCCCACCCCCAGAGATCAGACCAGCAGCAGGAGTGTCAGGAGGTGGGCTGAGCTGGGGAGGATGGACCTTCCGGGATGAGGGGTTCTCTCAGGGCTGCGTTAGAGACTTCTGATTTGTCATCTTCAGGGGCTGACCCCCACGTCACCCTAGAGCGGAGGTCGCCTGGCCGACTACTCCTGTTTCCAAAAGCCCCATGCTGAAGCAGGAGCTCAGAGAAGTGAACTGATTTGCTCAAGGTCACACAGCTTGGGCAGGACACCCAGAAGAAAGCTCTTCCCACCACGCTGCCTCTCCGGTTACATAGTAATTTGGAGGATTACTAAATTGACGACTCCAATTCCAGTTTAAGTAATATTCAAATACCCAACAGAGACTTGCAGCTAAGGCTGAAAGAGCGTGTTGTGATGGAAGAGGTCTGACGTGGGAAGCATCTAAAATCTGGAAATTCGAGACCTTCAACGAGGGAAAAACAAGGAGCCTGGATGTTTCAGGGCGTGAAAACTGGCTTTGTGCTCAAGGAGGAAAACCCCAAAGGAAAACTGGACCAGTGGCTCTTCCCTGTCACAGGAGAGAAGAACAATAGATGCATCACAGACCCTGGACTTGACACACACAGTCGTGTGGGGAATGCTGAGGATCCAAGCTGCGCGGGGGTGGGGGGCGCGATTTCTAATTACCCCCAAATCCCAGGTTGCCTGAGATCCCACCTGGCAGGCCACTGACCGGGAGTGGCAGAGCTGCCCTCTGCCAGGATTTCACTGATCGCAGATGTGTCAGCTGTCAGCCATAAACAAATGACTGCACGACCGACCGGGGAGGTCTCAACAGGAAAACCGGAGGTCCCCAGGGCAGAGAAAACACTGACGCACGTGTACATCATGACTGTGGGTCAGACCCAGGAGCCACCCAGGAGCCACCCAGGCCCTGGCGGACCCGGAGCCCTGGTCACAGATCTGGGGTTGTCCCGTGTTGAGGGAGAACAGGAGACCTCCGGAGAACCCCGATCACTTTCTAATTAAACACGACTGTCCGGGTTTTGAGCCGAGGCGGAGCGGAGCAAAGGGAAGGAAGAGAAGAAAAGTGGTTTGTTCCAGCTGCGCAGAACGCTGAGCTGGGAAGACTGCCCAGAACAGTTAATGCCCAGACCCTCTCAGCCTTGCAAATCGCTGCCCGCCTGGGGGGTGAAGAGCCATTTATGCCAGGTAAAGGCAGGCGATTTCATTAACTCCACTCCTGGTGTCTCATCTCCAAGGGCACGGGTGGTTAAATGTGAGCGGGATTGGTAAAGGGCCAGCCTGGTTGGCAGGACTTTCTGGGGTGGGTACATGCCCCTGGTCTACGAGGTCCCCGGGCTGAGTGTCTCTGCAGAGCCGAAGAAGGGAAGAGGTGATTGGGGGTGGAGGAGAGACAGACTTGAGACAGAGACTGAGTCCCAGTAGAAACACTGCAGGCCGGTGTTGAGGTACATGTGAACACGTCTCAAACATCACCAGCAGCCATGGAGTCCTCCAGGTGCGGGGCAGGAGTGGCACAAGCCCTCAACAAGGACGGCTTGGAGTCACTTCTCACGGGACCTCTCTCATCCCCCCCCACCTTGTCCCCCTGGTGCTCTTCTTGTTCCTCTGATGTCCAGCCTTTTAAAGCCAGAATAAAGCTGGGCTCCTACCTCAGGCTTCAGGCCCCTGGTCCCTTCCACTTCCTCCTGTCGGATGGCCGTCTTTCAGTCCCTCCAACCCTCCCCAGGACTCTGGCACTTGCCGTGCCTGTGCCTGGCTACCCTTGCCCCAGCCCTTTCCAGATTTACTTCCTCGGGGGGGCCGTCCCCGCCATCCCACCCAAAGCAGCCCACAACCTGCCCCCACCGACGTTGCATGTTTAGGACTCTTCAGAGCACTTGGTGTGAAAACATCCACGCGTATGTTTATTGTCAGTCTCCCTGCCCCTTCACACACGAGCACGTGGGCCTTTCTCTGTCCGATTCACCCTTCCCTTCCAAGCTGGATCGGTGTCTGCACAGAGGACGCGCTCCGTAACCGAGCCGTAGGGTCCAGGAGATGCTCTACGGAAAGGCAAGTGATCCGGGGAACCAGCCAACGGTAAGCCCACGACCTCAGCGCTGGGCTCTAAACAGCTTCCCTACCAGTCTCTGAAGACCTTGTAGCCCCGCAGCCACGGGCTCCTATGAGCTAAGCCAGCCTTAGAGGAGGTCAAGGCCTTCCTTCCTCACCAGTCCAGGCCACCCAGTCAGGTGTCCAGGGCAGTGGTCAGAGGCTTGGTCCTCCTCCTGCTGGCTTCCCCTCTAGGTGTCAGGCTTGCCCTGGCACGGGGGCGGCCTTCCCGGGGAAACGCCTGGCGGGGCTGGGGGATGGGGAGGGGGGCCGGACTTGGAATCACGGCTCCGATTCAAGAAAGGAAATCATCCGAGCTTTTAAAAAATTAAATGGAGTCAGTAATTTGATTTCAGAGAGAAGCTGAAAACCTCGTAATGGCAGGAGCAGCTCAATTCCGTGGTGAAAAGGAAAAGCCTTAAATGGGGCTATTAAGCTTTTGCCTGGGATGGATCTGCCCAGAGAAGGAGGAGGGAGGGAGGGCGGGCAGGGGGAGAAGTCGTCCTCGAGGCAGAGACCGTTCATCAGCCAAGACAGCCCTGATTATTTATTTATTTATTTATTTATTTATTTATTTATTTATTATTTCTTTCTTTCACGTTCCGGGCGTTGCCGAAGGCCTCTTCTTCTTGGCTGCGTTTCAAATCCCTCTTCCAGTGATGGGCCGGCCTGGGGGTGGGGGTAGGGTTGCTACCCTTCCAGGGAAGCACTGGGTACCACTCTAGCTCAGGCCACAGCTGGGCTTCTGGGCCAGGGAGCCCGGGAACCCTGGCATCCCTGGGGGTCAACAGGGGTCACCGGAGCTGTCCAAGCCAGCAGGGTACCAGCTGCTGCCATGGGAACCAGAGGAAGGGAGCGGTGAGTCATGAAAACAAAGCAGTAACACTCAGGGGGTTCTTCAGAGACCTGGGGTCATGGTCCCCTGGGGCCCAGGGGAGACGGCTTCTCACATCATAGGATCTTATCACCACCTACCTTCTCAGAAGGATGTCTGAACTATGGCTGAAGGCTTTCCATGCTCTCCTGGAATAAGCAAACATCCCCTCTGCCTGGGCCTGGGAGCCCAACTGTTCAGCTTCTCTGATTTGCCAGGACGGCAGCAGTAATGACCTCAAGAATGACTCACTTGGGCTTCCCTGGTGACGCAGTGGTTGAGAATCTGCCTGCCGATGCAGGGGATACGGGTTCGTGCCCCGGTCTGGGAAGATCCCACATGCCGCGGAGCACCTGGGCCCGTGAGCCATGGCCGCTGAGCCTGCGCGTCCCGGAGAGGCCACAACAGTGAGAGGCCCGCGTATCGCAAAAAAAAAAAAAAGAATGGCTCACTGGTTCTGAGCTAGAGGCCTGTGTCCATCTTCCTGCTTGCCGCTAAATAAACCCATTGGGAAGAACTATTATCACCCCCTATTTGACTGATTGGGAAACTGAGGCACAGAGAGGTTAATGCCTTGCCCAAGGTCACACAGATAAAGAGTGAAAGGACTGGGCCTTGAACCATGGCAGCCTGGCTGCAGAGCCTGCAAACTTTCCCCTCCCCCATGCCTCACACATCTAACAGCGAAAGGGCAAGCACAAAAACGCTGGGGCCTGCACTCGTGGGCAGTCCAAGCGGGTGGGAGGCATGCCCCGATGCTTCCTACCACGCTGTTTCACACTTGGCATCCCCTGGGGTGCTTCCAGGACTCACCCCAGCAAGGGGGTCTCTCAGAAGCCCCTCCACGATGTTCTGAAGCTCAGGAGGCCTGTACCTTTCAGGGCTGGTTGCCAATGTGGGCTCTGCTGGCTCCTGCTGGGGGCTACCCTGGCCAGCAGTGAAAGGGTCTCTAGGCTTGGCCAGGCTGGGTGAGGAAATGTCCGTGGGAGCCCGCAGGCTCTGAGGTTGCTGGACGTGTGTGTGGCCCCACTCTCAGCCTGCTTCACTGGCCAGCTACAGGCTGACTTAAGGCCTCAGGCTCTACGTGACTTTCCCACAGATGAGGCAGTGGGCTTCTCGGAGGCGGAGGCCGGATGGCTCTTGGGAAGAGCTGTCAGGTGGCTGCACTCTGCTGGCAGCTGCTCAGCAGTAAGAATTGTCAGGGCCCTGCTGGGCCCTCCTTGTGCCTCCCCTTGCGCTCTGGTCCTGAGGCCCTCAGACGGGCACTGGGGCCTGGCTGCTGCCACCACACCTTGGAAGTATTCACCATTGGGGCAGTGCTGTGGCATCCATCCCCAGAAGGAGGGTGAGTCCACTCCAGGTCCTGACTTGGTTCTGGGAATGAGAGGTCCGGGTGCCCTCTGGCCCCTCCCTGGGTGGCCCCCCAGCTTCCATTCTGGAGGATGTTTCCTGGGGCTCTCCAGGCGAGCGGCAGGAACACAACACCTCTTCAGCCAGGCTGGTCATCAAGGGCTCTGCCAATGGCTGGACCTCCTTGCTGGCCTGCCAGGGTCCCCGCATGGGCTAGTAGGCAGCCACGTGCCCCTGTGACAACCTTCCAGCAGGAGGGGACTTCCTGGTAGCTAGGCGGGGCTCTGCTCAGGCCTAGACTGCCAGTTAGGGTAACAGATGGCCTGAGACTATTGGGACCCCCAGAGAGGCAGCTGGAAATGAGACATCTGAGGACAAAGGCATGGTCCAGGCCCAGGGGCCAGAGGACTGGACAACTACTATGGACGCTGAGGACAGTACAGCTGAAAGCAGGGGGTCCAGGTCACCCCACTTTCCCTGGGGGAGCTGATCCTCTGGGAAACGGAAAAAGGAAGCCAGTAGATGTCCACCTTCTTTCCACAGGTTTGGCTGGTGCAGGAAAGGTCCAAGCCCCTTCTTCAGCGAGAGAACAGTGGAGAGAGGAAAAGCATCAGAAATAAAAGGATGTGGTTTCGGCCACCCTGAGGATGGCAGCCCGGGGAGAGGCCTGTGGCAGCTGCGACCTCAGGCTGGCTCTCCAGGCCCGGCTCCTGGGCCCCAGCTCCTTTGAAGCGTGCCTCGGTTTCCCTCCTGTCTGTGTGCACCGCCGCGGGCCCTCCCCTCCACCTCCTTGTGCCGGGTCCCAAGGCCCTGCGTGGCTGTGAGCCCGGCAGGACAGCTGGGCTGTGCTCAGGTGGGAGCTCTCGGGGAGCCCCGCTTTCTCTGGGGAACGGTCGGAACTTGAAGAGGAGGAGACATGGCCGGAGGTCTGAGTGGGACTCCCTTTGGCAGAGCGGTGGTGAAAGAGAGAGGCCTCGCGCCTGGCTGGGTCCACTGACGCCTCGTGGGGACGCGCCCTTCAAGGGAAACCATGGGTGGAAGTCAGGGCGAGGGACTTCCATTGGCCAGTGCACGGGAAGTCTAGTGAGCGAAACTCTGAGAAAACGCTTCCCGGAGGCCTCCAAACGCAGCTGGTCCTGCAGTTTGGAACTGGGAAAAGGCAGCAGATGGTATTCCTCCTGGAGGGGCTCCTGCTGGGGAGTGGTCCTTGGCGTGGCAGTTGAGGCAGACAACTCCCTTCCTAAACCTCCCAGAAAGGAAGCAGAGGTCAGTCCTCCTCCTAAGGGAGCAGAATCCTCCCAGCACCCTGCTGGAGGGGCCACATGGGTCCCCTTTTTACAGACGGGGAAATAGAGGCTTTAGAGGTCAAGTTCAAGCACCGGATTAGGAACTGTCCTCCTTGGCTGAATTTCACAGACTTTTGACCTGGAGTCTTTTTTGAGATCATGCAGGCATCAAAATCTATTTCTTTTCTTTTTTTTTTAATTTTTATTTTATTTATTTATTTGGTTGCGCCGGGTCTTAGTCGCGGCATGTGAACTCTTAGTTGCGGCATGCATGTGGGATCTAGTTCCCCGACCAGGGATGGAACCCGGGCCCCCTGCACTGGGAGCATAGAGTCCCAACCACTGCACCATCAGGGAAGTCCCTATTTCTGAAACTGAATTACAGAATTTCAGGTTTTCTCTAAAGAGCACCTGTCCCTGACTCTCTGCCTCTGCTTGATGCCACCAGCCATTGTCGTCTCTGAGCCATTCCCTATTCTGAGGCCAAATCCATCAGCCCAGCCCCAGGAACCGCACAGACCCAGACTCTGCCTCGACCCCGTTGACATCCTGGGCAAGATCATTCTTTGTTGTGTCGGGGAGAGGGCTCCTGTGCACTGTAGGATGTTTAGGAGGATCCCTGGCCTCTACCCACCACATGCTAGTAGCGTCCCCCTGCGTTGTGACAATCAAAAATGCCTCCAGACATTGCTAAATGTTCCCCCGGGAGGCAAAAATGCACCCCCAGTTGCAAATTCTGGCTCACGGGTCAAATATAGCCCTTAGACATGTTTGGTTTGGCCTGCAGGGGCTTTTAAATATTTTAAAATTAACTGACAAAATTTTATAATTTTCCGGCTTCTCCTGGGAAGTCAGAAGATTTGGCCACACTGGCCTGCCTCCCTACAAGGCAGGAATCGGCTCCACTTAAATGAGACTACTCTCTTGAAAAGGGTCTGGTGGGACTTCCCTGGTGGTGGCACAATGGTTAAGAATCCGCCTGCCAATGCAGGGGACACGGGTTTGAGCCCTGGTCCGGGAAGACCCCACACGCTGCGGAGCAACTAAGCCCGTGTGCCACAACTACTGAGACTGGGCTCTAGGGCCCACGAGCCACAACTACTGAGCCCGTGTGCCACAACTACTGAAGCCTGGGTGACTAGAGCCCGTGCTCCACAACAAGAGAAGCCACCGCAATGAGAAGCCCGCGTACCGCAAGGAAGAGTAGCCCCCACTCGCCGCAACTAGAGAAAGTCGTGCACAGCAACAAAGACACAATGCAGACAAAAGCTAAAAAAAAGAAAAAGAAAACAAAACTGGTGGCTGCCAGTTCACCACTGGAGTCCCCACCACTCCCCACTGGCTCCTACACTGAGCTTTGGCATCCTACCCTTGGGCCATGGGTTTTCTAACCCTCATTCCTTTACACTCCCTGCCTGACCCCTAGAGGCATTTTTGCCAGTAACCCCTGCTTTACAATGTAAAACAGCGGTAGCTAAACCACCCTCTTGGCTTCTCTTCTCAGGCTGGGCACTCCATTGCCTCCACTGCTCTTGACACCTCCAACCTTACATAATTAGGATTTCTCCCACAGGTTCTAATGACTTTTTGGCAGAGAGGAAGGAGATTTTTAAAAATCTGTAACCACCAAGTGCTTAGGCAATCCCGGTGCCCTAATATTCCAACATATTCGCCACATATTATCCCAGAGAAATGTTCTTTGTCTAAAACATTTTTTAAAAAATGCCTGGTGAAAATTCAATCCAACAAGCATGTATTAAGTGCTTACAAAGGGCAAGGCAGTATGATAAGGCCCATGAGTAAAATGCTGAATAGGGCACGGCCCCTGATGGCAAGGGGTTCATAGCCCACAGGGAGAGCCAAGAGCACGTACCACTAACAATGAGAGGAGAAGCTGCAGGGGAGGTGCAGGGAAGGTGTGCTGGAAACCAGGGAAGGGAGAGGTTAATTCTGGCTGCTGATATGAAGTTAATAAAACGAGGAAGAGAACATTCTTTCCCCGTGTAAATCTTTCCAGAGAGGCCAAAGCGCCTTTCTAAAATGTTCTATTGCTGTCGCCGCAGCTATTTTTGTATTTTAGGTACTAGGTCCCTATCAAGAACCTACGCTCTCTCAAAGCCCAGGACAAAGGTCACCTTCTCCTTGGCGTCTTCCTCAAGCCCGCCTGCCCTTGTTACAACTCTCTGGACATTGCTTCTCTCCCCTTCCAGACAGGCCACTAGTTGAAAGCAAGGACCAAATCTGGTGGCCTCTGTTCCCTCCCACGGGGCCTCACGCATGGCAAATGCTTAGTGAATATTTGTTGGATAAAGTTCTGGCCCTCCCTTTCCAAAATCAATGTCATCGCTGCAGGAAACTGTTAAAATAAAAACAGCCGAAATGTGTAAAAACTTTCAGGAAACATTTCCATTTTTAGCAGACTGTTAGAACTCATCCCCGCCCCGCCTTTTCCTTTGTTTCTAATTCTGAATTTGGGGCTGGATGGTAGGCAGTCCCCCTTTTAATCTTTAAATATAGTTCTGAATATAATTACATTTTTATGCAGCACCGAAACATCATATCCTGGTAACGGGGCATTCTTGCACTATTAACATCTGAGTTAAATCTCCTTTGCGTCTGTCTTCTATTGAGGACAGTTAGGAAGTCAAAGATGAAAGTGATCGACATCATTTGTGAATTATGTGTATTTCCTTATGCTGTATTTCAATGGGTTCTGCTCCTAGTGATTTTGTGAATACCAGGTTGTCTGGTAGCTGTGCTTTCACCAAAAACGCCTTTCAAGACTTGAATCCCAGCATCCAGGCACGGAGGACACACACCACGTTTAGAGGAGGGTTTGTCTTGGTTAAGAAATAAGTGGTAAAGCAGCTATACCCCCCCCCCAAAAAAAAAGAAATAAGTGGCCTCAAATAGTGCTCCTTGCCAAGGAGCCCACTCCGTGCCGTAGGTCGACAGACCCCGACCTTTTAGGCACCAGGGACCGGTTTCGCGGAAGACGATTTTTCCACGGAAGGTGGGGGGATTGTTCAGGTGGTAATGCAAGCTATGAGGAAATGCAGATGAAGCTTTGCTCGCTCGCCTGCCGTCCACCTCCTGCTGTGTGGCCTAGTTACTAACAGGCCGTGGCCCGGGGGTTGGGGATCCCTGCGGTAGGTGACCCGTGGAACTGGAGCCCACGCCAGATCGCTGGACAATCGAAACAGAAGTGGCTCATCTTGTGCCAAGAACTCTGCTGAGCTCCTAACTCCATCATCTCCAGTCCTCACAACAGGTAGCGGTATTCCCACTTAAAAAAATATATTTATTTATCTATTTGGTTGCACCGGGTCTTAGTTGCGGCAGGCGGGCTCCTTAGTTGCGGCATGCATGTGGGATCTAGTTCCCTGACCAGGGATTGAACCCGGGCCCCCTGCAGGGAGCTCTTAGTCTTATCCGCTGCGCCACCAGGGAAGTCCTGGGCTATTTCCATTTTGCAGATGTAAGAAACTGAGGCTCAACAAGGTGAAGGGAGTCGACCAGGCCCTGCAGCTAGCTAGAAAGTTGATGTGCCCCCCGCCCCCTCCCCGGCACTTTGACTCCACCTGGCTCCCGCAGCCCTCCTACTCCCCAGCCAGTTCCAACCAGTGTGCCTGACACCATCGTTTCCCCGGGTTGGGTGTGGGACCTGTCAGGCCGGGGAAGACGAAGCCCCGTCATGGGAGAAAGAACCACAGGCAGAGCCAGCAGGCACACCCTCACCGTGACTCTCACCCACACAGTGGAAGGAGCTCTCCACCGTCCAGAGGATGGGGGCGGCCGCCTCAGCAAACCCCAGGCTCAGGACCACCCTATAGAAAGCCTGCGTCCCCAGAGCTCCTTGGGCCTCCTGGCATTGCTGTGGGGCAACGAGGAGTTAGTCGCGTGTGGCAGGGTGCATCCTGTGTCCTGTGGCTGCCCTCCCATGGGGCCACCCTGGCAAGAGTGCCAGGCTTCTGGGCTATAAGTGGCAAAGGTCCATTTTCTGCTGGCTCCACAGCTCTGCTGTCACGTCTCTGACTCCACATGGCATCAGTGGCCCAAGGAGAAGGGGTCTTCGGAAGGGGCAGGACAGCCAATGCCACCACCAAGACCCTGACCTGGACCTGGAGCGCTCCAGCCGCCAGGACGCCGACCAACGCAAAGTCCCTGTTTTTGGTCACTGTGAAGGTAAGGAACTGGTGGACTCGGGAATTTTAGGCTCAGGCTTTCCTCCAAGTAGGAACCTCTTTTGACCAGATCCAGTCTCTGCTTTGGGATGTGAACGAGACCTCCATCTCTGGCTGGGATGACACTGGAATGGGGAAGGACACGTGACACAAAAAAATACACACTCTGCAGGCACGTGGACGAAAGGGTGGTGACAAGACCTCAGCCAGGGGCCACGCCTGTGGCCGGCACTTTCGGGATTGGTGACATGAGATTTCTCGGTGTTTGGTATCACTGCCTGGGCTGGAACGTGACTGCACTGATGCGGAAGAGAAGGAAAGGCCATCCCCAAACACCTGGGGATCCCACCGTTTGCAAAGACCCGTGAGGAAACAGATGCTAAGAGCGGGGCTGCCCGTGGAAGCTGCAGAAATGTCTCTGCCAAGACTGTCTTCAGCTCGGTGACCTAGCCTGGTGCCCCTTCCATTACCAAAGCTGCTCTTAAGAAATAAAGCTTGTATCAGTTGTTTACACTTTAGCAAGAATTTCGTTGTGTCAGCCCTCTCACAGGGGCATTTAAAGCCAGCTCTGCAGTGGCTAAATGAAAGCATCTGTCTCCACGTAAAAGGATTTCAAGCATCATGAATAAGGAAAGGGATGTTTGGGGGCTTGGTGAGGCCGTCCCCAATGCTCTAAACTCCCCAGAGTCCCATTATGAAATCTCGTCCATGATAAAATTCTATACAAATGTCAAGTCTTAGTCATCTCAGACCTACCCACTCAGGATGAAGCCTTTGATGTACCTAACTTTGCATACAGAGTTCCTTAGAATTTAAATTCCCCAGAGGTAGGAAATGGTCTTCCAGATTCCGGGCCTCTCTGTATCACACCCCAAGCTGAACGAAATTGTTATCACATACAGGGTCTAGATCAAGGGTCCCAACCTCTGTCAGAGCATGGAGCCCTCAAGAGCCTGATGAAGACTGCAGACCCTCTCTCATCTTTGTTCTCGGACCCCCTGGAGGCCATCTTGGGACTTCCCAGGAGTTCAAAGAGCCCGGGTTTGGAAAAGTGGATGATTCCACTTTTCATCCACTCTCTACACCCCACCCCTGCTCCACACACACCTGTACCTGCCAGAAACAGCCGAGGTCTCTCTGTTCCAAGCAATTCAGGAACGCATGGCCAAGGTTGGGGCTAAGAAGAGGCGAGGTGGGGTGGGACCACGGACATTAGGTGCCAGAGGAGGGAGGAACAGAAAAGGGACAAGGGAGCGATGTAGCCGGAAAGGATGGGCATTGGGGGCCCTCTTGGGTCTTATCCCGTGGGCCAGTGGCTCCTAAAGACAAGGCATAGCTGCTCCCCACGAGCAGCAGGAGGCCTGTGGGGTGTGCAACACTTGCTGAGGCAGGAGCGCCTCCCCGTGGCCTCCGAAACTGCTCCTTCCAGAAGCAAACTCCCTCCACAGGGCCCCCCTCCCACCTTCGGACCAGCCTGTGGACTGAACCCCCAAGGGTCCCAGAGCTCAGGTCAGGGACTGTTGCTCCAGTGCAACCAGGATATATTATTTAGCCGGGATATTTTTAGCAGGAAAGCGAGCTCGGAGCAAATGTCATGTGAGCTGTCTTCTCTTACACGGCAACTTTGGGCTATTTAAAGAGATGGTAATTACGCTCCTGCCACCATGATCAGGACGACAAGCTGAATGCATGATTGCAGGAGCCGCTCATCTGCCACGCGGAGTGCTTGACACTAATGGAGCCCAATTTTCGAAGCTGCCTGCCTAAATCTGTCCGGTCTCCAGGTGGACATTTGAATTGGCACTGGAGCGCTGGCAGACTGCTCTCCGGGGCCTCCCCGAGGGTGCCACGCCTTGAGGCTCCCCGCCTGGTAGGGGCACTGGGCACGTGCTAGGTGCGCCACGGGGCTGAAAGACCCAATGAGCTGTTACCCCCACTAGCAAGGCCAAAGGGCGACCCACACTCTGCCCAGTCTGAGTCCTGGCCTCGGTTCCCTTTGCAATGCTCCAGAGGGACATTGGCCATTGGGGCCTTGAATAAAGGCGGGTGCCTGGAGGGTGGGAGGGGGACAGAGAGGAGTCCGCGTCCCCTATCCTAGGGGGACTAGCAAGAGGAATTCAGGAGAAGACTTGAGGAAGGGAAAGCTCACTGACTTCAAACATTCAAAGGGCCGTGAAATGGAGAAGGGACCAGCTCCTTCCGGGGGGCTGCGGAGAACGGAGGACCAGCAGAAGGAAAGTTTGGGGAAACAACTGTGCAATATGGGAACAGGTGGTCTTGCAAAGGAAGGAGCTCCCCGTCACTGGAGACTGTGCAGAGAGAATCTTAGCAAGAGGAGGACCTCAGAGGCCTTCAACCCAAAGCCAGGACCCCTCCTCAGATTTCCTCTCAGATGGCCTCTGCCTGCAGGACACCAGGGAACGCTTCCAGCCTCGGCTGCCGAGACGCGAGCCCAGCAGAGCTGGCCTTGTCCACCAACTCTCCAAAGGAGAACAGAAACCAAAACCTCCTGCCTCAGGGTGTCCCCAAGCACCAGGCCTGGCAGAACCTTCCAGAAAGTTGCTCCTGACCCACCTACCTGTCCACTGGTGCTTCCCAGGGGTAGGGGCAGGGAGACCTGCAGAACAAAAAGGAAGCAACCTCTCCTGGCAAAGCAGTAAGCGAAGGTGAGAGTAAACATTTCTGTCTGAGCACGGAAGCGCTGACAATTACCCCAGCAGGAGGCCGGCGAGAGAGCCACATGGCTGGGTTGTTTGCTCATTAAGACAAGAACATCATTTACGTTCTGAGACTCCAGGGTCAACAGGCCCAGGGAAATATCGTTGCCTCAGCTGCCACCCTGGGCCTGGCCAAGGGGGCGGCGAGGGTCCCGGGAGCAGCTGGCAAAAGGCCAAGAGCACAGGCGCACGGCCGGGATGGTCCTCTCCCAGTCCTCCCAACTTGTTTTTCTCCCGAGTTCACCCAGTTCTCCCTCGCCCTGTCTCTTTCCTTTTCAGATCCAAAAAGTAATGGTGGAGGGACGGCTTCCAAGGGCGGACAATTTCACCACTGGCACTGAACTTGGGGTGACCACCCAACCCAGTTTCCTGGGGACTGAGCACCCAACCCAGTTTCCTTTGGGACTTAGTGCCAAAACAGGAAAGGCCCAGGCAAACTGGGATGGTCGGTCACCGTACCGCCTGTGAACCTCGCAGCCACGCCACGGGGGGACCGTTCTCCCAGACGGTCATCTGAGAAATGCACAGAGGAGGGGAAGGTGATGGTGTGGGCTGGGCACCTTTCCTGGAGCTTCTGCTGCAGCCCACACCCTCCACCCTGCCCTTCTCTCAGTTCTTTCTGCTTTCTCCAAACTCCACTTTGCATTTGCTTCAGACCTTGGCAGGGAAGTCTCGGCACAAGGAAGTAGTCACAGACCAGCCGAGGGTCCCTCGGACATCATCTGACCAACACCCCTCGCTATGCAATGTGGGGAGGAATGAGGCCAGAGGGGACTGACTTGCCTTGGTGATGCCCCCACCCAAGACCACTCCCACTCCATACGGAGGGACAGAGAGGGGATCCCTGCAGCAGAAAGAAGCAAAAGGGACCAGGAGGACACCCCAGGCAGCTCAGCCTTCTCAGCTCCCCAGCCCTAATGCTCCTTGGCCCTGAGAGCCCCTCCTGGCAGCAGGCTCACGATGGCCCACGGGGAGCTCCTCGAGCGAGCCTGGCTGTTTCCTTGTCTTTGGAGGTGCTGCCTTCACTTGCGGGGCAAAGGGGCAGGAGTGGGACAGATGCCTGAGGTTTGGTGAGAGGATGGAGAGGATTCGGCATCTGCCTTTGCCACCACAAAAGCTGTCCCATCGTTCCCACTCCTGTCCTCCACTGCAGCCTGGAGGAAGGCAGGGAAGCCCCCCGGAGGCCGAGCTTTGAAGAGGGAGACAGTTCTGCTCCAAGAAGGAAGAGAAGACAGATCAAGAGCAAAGCAAAAACGCACAGCCCTTTAAGGCCCCACGCGGAGGCTATATTTAGGGCCGCAGGACTTCGGGCAGCCTTCCCTGGGAGCAATCGCTAATCATTGCATTGAGTTTACGGGTGCCCCTGGGCACACTTAACCCAGGGCAATGAATAGTTATTGCGCGGCCTCCCGCTCGGGGCCTGTGGGCACACTTAAGCGAGTGTGCCGGATCGCTGGGAGCGGGCAAGGCTTGGGTACACCCTTGGGCACCCTGCGCTTTCAGCAGGGAGAGGCAGAGTATTAAATATCTATGTGCCCTGTGCCCACAGCTGCATTTAGCCAAGGGCAAGGCCGGTGAAACGGCTTTAATTAAAACTTAATCCAAGTTCAAGGTGCAGACACGGAAGCCGCGGCTGCAGGTCACCAGGAATGAATCAGTCAATTCGATGAGGTTCTCAGGTGGGGGAAGGGGTGGTGGGGAGGGGGGCCTGGGCTGCGGAGTACTTGCTGCCCACCTCTCTGCATCTGTGCTCTGGGACTTGGGGCCACCGCACACGCCCATACCTCGCTTGGTGAAGGATGCTGGGATTTGGGTATCTGGGCTTCAAAGGCAGGTGGTTGGAAATAAAGCAGGCCCCTGGGCCGGGAGTGGGTCCTGCTTTCCTCAGCCACTCAGCCCAATGTCGTGTGACACGGGCAATGCCGTCCCCCTGGCGGCAGCTCCCAGAATTACAGGCCCAGTGCAGAGGGAGGAGTGACCAGCGCCGGAATGTCAAAGGAACGCGCTGGTGGCAATGCTTGGGGATCCTGGGGTCCAACCCTGCGATTCTTAGGAGGACCAGCACCAGGCTTGGTGTGGCCACTTGTGCCACTAAAACGGCAAGTAGGCAGAGGAAGCCTTGCCACTCTGCCCCTTCTCCTTAAGACTGGGAAGCAAAGGAATCTCAGAGAGGTCTGCCCATCGGCCCAAGATGGCAGTGAGCTGGGCTCAGAGTTGGAGGAGCTCTGAGCCATGGTCCAGGGATGCTCCCTGCCAGACACACCTGCTTTAAAATTCAGACCAGATGAGAACACAGCTATAAAGCCTTCCTGGGGCAAAGGCTCCACGTCTCATTCAAATCTGTTCCCTTAGCAACAGCACAGCACCTGGCATATAGTAGGTGCTTAATAAATGCTTGTTGCGTGAATGGTGATTGTCATTAGCAGGCTTTTTGTGCCAAACTCCTCTTTTCATTTCTCCTTTCCTGTTTCCTGATCTTTAAAACGGAGGCCTTATACCTGATTGTAACGGAGGTACTTTTATGACTAAAAGTCTATAATTCCTCGGCACTACCCAGGTCAAGAAGGAGCATGCAAACTGGCAACTTTTTCAATGGGGAGAAAAAGAACACAAGGACATAATATTGCAGCTTTGGTGATAATCCCGTCCTCCCACTGTCCCCAGTGCCAGCGACGATGGGAAGTGGAGAGTATTAGTTCAGAACCTTTAATAGCCCCACTCCCACTCCATCCCATCTCCTCCCAGTTTGCTTAGACAACAGCCCAGTGGACCCGGGCATCCAGCCAGGGCGCACAAATGTCTGCAGAAGAACCATGCCACGCGGCACCTCCAGCTGCCACCTGTGGGCCCGGCCACATCTTGAAGCTCAGGAGCCACGGCCTCTGGAGAGAAGCCCAGCCTGGGAACCCCTACTCCCACCCCCAGGCCTCTGAGCCCATTAGCTGAATGAATGTGGACTGGCAGTGGACACTCTCTTGGTCCAGCCTGGACGTGATCACTGGACACTTCATTATGTAGCAGTCACTCTGCTCCAACCTTTTCACCTCCCCTTTGAAATATTCTGGTTTCCAACCTGTAATTTGCTTTCTAGAAGTAGAACAAAATTCCTGTGTGCAAATGAAAGAGGAAAACACAGTTAATAGGCTACAATTATAGGTCAGTGACTATTCACAGCAAATATGATTAACATCAACCCACTGGAGGCTGGGCAGTTCTCATGGAAGAGGCTAGGAAGTGAGCTGAGGCTGCTGGGGATCAAAACCTGGGTCCAGCTTCTGGAATCCAGCAGTTCAGCCTCCACCAGGGAAGCCCTCAGGGCCAGTGGATTTCAGGAAGGTCCAACCTGTCCAGACAGAACAGGAGCTTGTGCCTGAACATCCCTTGACAGGTGTCAAGCATCTGCTCACAACTTGTCTCCCTCGATCCTCACAAAGATCCCATAGGGTAGGCTTCTTATTCCCATTTTACAGATGAAGCAGTTGAGGCTCAGAGGAGGTAAATAACTAAGCCAAAGGCATGTGGCCACTCTGGGAGTGCCTGGCTCATTCCATCATGTGACGGATGGAGCTTCAAAGATGTCAAACCAGTGGGTCCCACAGGGGATGCTGGGGCTGACCTCATTCAGCCACAGAGGACGAACCCAATTCGAGGCTTTGTGGTGGGGCCTGAGAAGAGTGTGTACTGATGGGGTGGGAGGTGGGGAACGTCAAAGAGGGTGATTGCAGAAAGGAAGAGAAAGAGAAGGAAGAGGATAGTTCCTGAAATTTCTCCCCCGTTATGGACCACAACCCCCTCGGTAGAAATTCTGGGCTAGATTGAGGGAGGAAGACAAAGAAATGAAGGAAAGAGGAAATGGAGGTGAGGAGAAAAAGAGAAGATGAAAACATGAGGGTCCGTGGAGCAGTTCACACCGTCTTGGGGGCCAGGCGGTGGAATAAAGTGACAGGTGTGCCCAGGGAGCTGCAACCCTCCAGCCCCCAGGCCATCGGCCGCCGCCTAAATCAGGGCGGCTCCTTGTCTTCCTGGCCCCCAAAGAAGCATCAGTTCCCCCTCTGACTGGCATGAGCCCACCCCTCCAGCCCCAGGTTTGAAACCTGCTTCCCTGGATGGGGTCCACATTGTATGGGGCCTGCAGCTCATGCAATTTGGGAGAAGGACCTCTTTAAGAAAAAGAATATAAAAATATCTTACTTTTGCAAATTTTACAGAGTCATATGGTCTTGTAGGCATGTAATGGGCCATGCGACTGAGGGGTCCTGGGCTTATGCTCTGTCAGATCCATGGTCAATCAGCATTTACTCACCTCACTGAGCACTAACTGAGCACCTACTGTGTGCCAGGCCCTAAGTCAGGGGCTTCCCTGGTGGCGCAGTGGTTGAGAGTCTGCCTGCCGATGCAGGGGACACGGGTTCGCACCCCGGTCCGGGAAGATCCCACATGCCGCAGAGCACCTGGGCCCGTGAGCCATGGCCGCTGAGCCTGCATGTCCGGAGCCTGTGCTCCGCAATGGGAGAGGCCACAACAGTGAGAGGCCCGCGTACGGCAAAAAAAAAAACAACAAAAAAACAAACTAAGTCAGCTCATGTGCCTCCTCTGTTCAAACCTCCCCATTTTTCACGCCGAGGAAAAGCCAAAGTCCTTGAAGGCCCCGGTGATTTGCCCCCTCACCTCCCTGACCTCCTCTCCCACTTCCTCATCTCCCTCCCAGCCGCACTGCTCCAGCCACACTGGTCTCCCCGCCATTTCTCAGGCATGCCAGTCCTGCCTCAGGACCTTTGCACTGGCTGTGCCCTCTGTGTGGAACTCCTTCTCTTGGATACCTGCATGGCTCACTCCCCCACCTCCTTCAAGTCTTTGCAAAAACGTTGCCTTTCAGAATTGGAGACACAGATGCAGAGAATAAATGTATGGACACCAAGGGGGGAAAGTGGCAGGGGTGGGGGGCTGGTGGTGGGATGAATTGGGAGATTGGGATTGACATATATACACTAATATGTATAAAATCGATAACTAATAAGAAACTGCTGTATAAAAAATAAATAAAATAAAATTCAAAAATAAAATGTCTCCTTTTCAGTGAGGCCCACCCTGACCTGCTTTATCCTATGGCCCTGCTTCCTTTCTCTGTAGCACTTGATACCTTCTGACCTTATTTGTTATATTTAAGGCTCATGTCACCCCACCCAAAGTCAGCTCCATGGGGCCAGGGAGTCTGTTTTGCTCATCGCTGCATCCTTGGTGCCTTGAGCCGTCAGGCATATAGAGGGCTGTCAATAAATATTTGTTGAATGAGTGAAATATACAGAGGACTGTCTCTGGGTAGAGAGATTATGGGTAATTTTCATTATCTCCTTTGGATTTTCCCTAGTTTCCATAATTATCGCATACTGCTTTGTCATGAGTTTTTTAAGTCATTTTTAAAAGCTCATGGTTTCTTTTTCAAATGCTTGACTCAGTTGTGTACTTGATAGGAGATGAATGCGTTATTTCAAAAAACAGCTCTGGAAGCCTTTCTGGAGGGGATTCTCTGGTGACATGCTTTTCTTTTAAAAGCACGCAGTTTCCAACTCTATCTTAGCAAGCGATCACGGCCCTGCCTCTGGCAGAGGGAAGCTCTGAAAGGTAGATCGCTGGGGAAATAAAGTGTCTTAGCCTGGATGTGCAAATTGACCTGGATTGTTTTAGTTTTGCATTCACGTTTGCACTTTGTAAATATTTGCCTGTCACCCCGCTGCTCACACCTGCTTGCTGTCCCCTCAAGTTTATGGAAGGCAGCAGGCACTGTCATTTCTCCAACCCCACCTGGCGCTGCTGGCGCTGCCAGCACGGCCGTGTGAAAAGGAAACTCGCCCGTGAAAGCCACAGGTGTCTCTGACAGCGCCTAAAACTAATGGCCTGTGGCTGGCCGCTGTGACTAATTCTCTGATTATTGACTTTATGATTTTACGCTTAAAACTTCTTTATAATAACACACAGAAATGTTTAATGAGCTCTAACCAGAGCCATAAAAATTACTTATTGAACAAGCGTTTTAAAACTATTAATCTATTGTTTTCCATTAATAATGGCTCTCCAAAGAACGGGCGACAGCTTAATGTATCCACAGCATTTCTCCGCGAAAAGTGGCCTTTTAAGACATAAATGCCGCTCCCAAAGCATCGCGGGCTGGCCGGCCATTGGGTAGCTGACCCTCCCAGGACAGATTTAGGCTCTACCAGTCCCAGAGGGTGCTTTAAGGATTTCCAGGATGAACAAGGGCCCTGGGAGATTTTGCTAGTCTCTCTGGAAAGCCCCTCTCCTCAATTTCTCTCTTTTTGTGAAAAAGACAAGAGGTGTTCCGGGGGCCTGTTTTGCAATGCCCGATGGAGAGCACAGAGGGAAGCAGACAAGTTACACATTGCTATCCTTGTTCCTTCTGGAAGGTTCCAGGTACCCATCTGGTTGTACCCATCCCCCCTTCTTCTGTTGGCAAACCCATGGCTGAAAGTTTTCCATGATACTATGCCCCTGTTTTTGCTATTTTCGGGGCACAATTCCCCCACTAAGCATGAGATGGCTTCCTACTTCAAGTGTGTAAGAATAACCCCTTTAAAATAAATCATCTGGGACTTCCCTGGTGGCGCAATAGTTAAGAATCTGCCTGCCAATGCAGGGGAGATGGGTTTGAGCCCTAGTCCGGGAAGATCCCACATGCTGCAGAGCAACCAAGCCCGTGTACCACAACTACTGAGCCTGCGCTCCAGAGCCCGCGAGCCACAACTACTGAGCCCGAGTGCCACAACTACTGTGCCTGTGTGCCACAACTACTAAGCCCGAGTGCTACAACTACTGAAGCCCATGCACCGAGAGCCCGTGCTCCGCAACAAGAGAAGCCACTGCAGTGAGAAGCCCACACACCATAACAAAGAGTAGCGCCCGCTCGCTGCAGCTAGAGAAAGCCCATGGGCGGCGACGAAGACCCAAAGCAGCCAAAAATAAATAAATTAATTAATTGAAAAACATTATATTTTAAAAATAAATAAATAAAATAAATCATCCATTTATTTTTCTGGGTAACTTAGATTGTGAAACATATTGGCACCAGATGGGCACTTCTTCTAAGAGCTTCAGGCTGTTTGTTCATTCAGCAGATATTTATTGAGTGTATACTAAGTACCAGGCTGTGTTCTAGGTTCTGGAGACACAGGAATAAACCAGAAACACATGGGCCTTGCCCTCACAGAGCCCATCTGTCAGAGGGGAGCGAAGATGACAGCAGGTGAACGTTGTAGGAGATAATTTTAAGATCATTTAAGTAATAAATGCTGAGAAGCCAACGGGATAAGATTGTGACAGGAGTGGGTGCGGACTGCTTTTGATGGAGAGTCAGGAAGGCTTCTTGGGGAGGCGGCCTTTGAGCAGAGATTTTGTTTTGTTTTGTTTTGTTTGCGGTACGCGGGCCTCTCACTGTTGTGGCCTCTCCCGTTGCGCAGCACAGGGAGAGCGCGCAGGCTCAGCGGCCATGGCTCACGGGCCCAGCCGGCGGCATGTGGGATCTTCCCGGACCAGGGCACGAACCCGTGTCCCCTGCATCGGCAGGCGGACTCTCAACCACTGCACCACCAGGGAAGCCCTGAGCAGAGATTTGAGTGACAGAAAGGAACCAGCCGTGAGAAACATTCCCGGCAGGGGAAAGGCAGTGCAAAGGCCCTCGGGTGAGGTATACATAGAGGCGTCTTTCCCTAGGTGAATGCCCTGCCCAGACAGCAACTGTCCCTTACCTGGCACATGCAGGATCTGCTCAGCCACTGCCTCAAACCCTCCATGTGGCTCCTGGGACCCATAGGGCATGTAGTGGAGAAGCATTCAACCTCGTCTGTTGAACAAGGAAATATTTGTCCTCCGAGCCCTACTTCAATGGAATGGTTAGGAAGGGGCACAAAGGAGTCATATGGTCACAACGAGAAAGACGCCTTACACCACGCAGAGGTCACAGAACAGTCTCAGAGGGGATATGTTTTAGGGTGCAGCTTTTCAAACTTCAGGTGGCTACAAATCACCTCGAGGTCTTTTTAAAATATAGATTCTGATTCGGCAGGTGC